TAGTTATATTTGTTTTTGTTGTAGGCGCAGACACAATTAAGATACAGTTGTTTGTTTGAGGGTAATTTTGGTCATCATAGCAACTGTATTTATTTATTCCCTTAATTTTACTTCCTTTTTTTTGAGGTGAGGTATTTTTTATTGTTTACGACAAATAAACAAGCAAAAAGTTTGGCTTGGAAATGACGTAATATGATGAAAAAGTACATTTCTAACGCCATATGGCGTTCCAGACGAACTAAATTGATGCACTATACGGAGCTTGGCCTCGGCTTACGCCAGTCAACCGACTTTTCTGCTCTCTTGTGTGGGCTGGGTTGGTGTTGTTGCCGGCGATGATGTAAGCTTGCGCGCATACACGTACTTATGTATGTATGTAAATGTATATGATTAAGCGAGAGATTGTCGCTTAAATTTGAGGTAGGCGCATGTCTGCTGACTGCGACTGCGACTCTGACTATTGCTCGCTTGTGCGTGGGGACGGCGAAGCACAGCCCACATACATATACGGGAAAAGCCAAAGCCAAAGACTGTTAAGGTGGACAGCTGGTGTTATGATCAACCCACACACACAAGCAGCGACAATGACGATGACGATGTTTCCGTTGTTGTCGGTTTAAGCCCACCATAAGTCTGATAAAATATTTATTTATTGACTTTGTGTCTAAATACAGCTTTCTATTATTAGTGCCCCTTTAATGGATACAAAGTTCAACGAACATCTGTTCGGAAAGAATGAAATAGCAAAGAGTTTGAGAACAATTATTTGAAATTGATTTAGTTATTTTAAAAGGGCTGGTACTAATTGAAATAAATCATATTAATTAAACAATTATTTGAAATAGATTTATTTTCTATAAAAGAAGGCTTAGTAGATATAAAATAAAAAAGTGAATTAATTTTTTGAAATTTTAAAATTAAATGAACGTCTTTTACTTTCATTTTAGTTCTGGGAAATCATTTCCGATGAGCACGGCATTGATGCTACCGGCGCTTACCATGGCGACAGCGACCTACAATTAGAACGTATCAATGTATACTACAATGAGGCGTCCGGAGGCAAATATGTGCCTCGCGCTGTGCTCGTCGATTTGGAGCCTGGCACCATGGACTCCGTGCGATCGGGTCCCTTCGGCCAGATCTTCAGACCCGACAACTTTGTGTTCGGTCAATCTGGTGCCGGCAACAACTGGGCCAAGGGTCATTACACAGAAGGCGCTGAGCTCGTCGATTCAGTGCTCGATGTTGTGCGTAAAGAGGCTGAATCGTGCGATTGCCTGCAAGGCTTCCAACTTACACACTCGCTTGGAGGCGGCACCGGTTCCGGCATGGGTACCCTGCTGATCTCCAAGATCCGTGAGGAATATCCCGATAGAATCATGAACACATACTCAGTGGTGCCCTCGCCAAAGGTATCGGACACCGTTGTTGAGCCCTACAATGCTACCCTGTCGGTGCACCAGTTGGTCGAGAACACAGATGAGACCTACTGCATCGATAACGAGGCGCTCTATGACATCTGCTTCCGTACCCTCAAGCTGACAACCCCAACTTATGGTGACTTGAACCATCTCGTCTCGTTGACAATGTCTGGCGTAACAACTTGCCTCCGCTTCCCTGGCCAACTGAATGCTGATCTCCGCAAACTGGCAGTTAATATGGTTCCATTCCCACGTCTGCATTTCTTCATGCCTGGCTTTGCACCCCTGACATCTCGAGGCTCCCAGCAATACAGGGCGCTGACAGTGCCTGAGCTGACGCAACAGATGTTCGATGCTAAGAACATGATGGCTGCCTGCGATCCTCGTCATGGCCGCTATCTGACCGTCGCTGCCATCTTCCGTGGACGCATGTCCATGAAGGAGGTTGACGAGCAGATGCTGAACATCCAGAACAAGAACAGCTCATACTTTGTTGAATGGATCCCCAACAATGTGAAGACCGCTGTTTGTGACATCCCGCCCCGTGGTCTGAAAATGTCTGCTACTTTCATTGGAAACTCGACTGCCATCCAGGAGCTGTTCAAGCGTATCTCTGAGCAATTCACCGCTATGTTCCGTCGCAAGGCTTTCTTGCATTGGTACACTGGCGAGGGTATGGATGAGATGGAGTTCACCGAGGCTGAGAGCAACATGAACGACTTGGTCTCTGAATATCAGCAATACCAGGAGGCTACCGCCGATGAGGATGCTGAATTCGAAGAAGAACAAGAGGCTGAGGTGGATGAGAACTAAATTCTCGAAAGTTGCGTCAAGTAAAATGAGAACAAAAATTAAGTTTGCAGTGATTGTTCTTTTAACGTAACCAATAAAGTCGAAACGATTTCTTCTTACAAAAAAATATAAAAGAAAATCTTGTTTAATTTTTTAAAATAATTCGCATTTATTTTTGTTTGCTACATTTGATTATACAGCGTGAAAACTTATCGGCAACACGTTTATCTATTTAGTCAGCTGCACTCACAGCCATCAAGAAGTTTATTAAATGCTCTGTAGCTCGAACTATATTTTATAATAGAAGGAAACAGATTAACTATTTGTGGGCTTATCTAATATACTAACATTACAGAAAGTAGGAGCAATGAGAAGAAACATCGATAATTTGAAATTAGCATTGGTTTGCGCATGACAGAGGGCATTTAAAAGGTAAAATCCATTGTGCAGTATATTATGCTGTGATACGTAGAATAGCTACTATTTCAACTACTATACTATTTAGTTAAAGATGTTTCTTTAGAAAATAATTATAATTCATCATGTAGAAAAAATTGTTTAAGACGGCATGATGTTACTATTAGCGGCATTTTCCCCACCCAAACAGCTGCTTGTCGGTATTTTATAGGGATGGGCCACACATAAACGATTGCTAAATAAAAATGTATCGAATAAAACTATCGAAAATACATTCAATTCCGTAATTGATACAAACATTCATGCTTTTTATACTTCTGACTGAAGTAAATAATTAATTTACACAAAAAAATAAATAAATAAATAACATTCATATAAAGAAGTAAAATCAATATACATTACTAACCTTAGTACTTCCAGTTTTGCATGATGGTATGAAGAAATTTGAAATTAAGTATTTTAGCCATTATACAGCACTGAATTGTATATGTACGATTTTGAGTGTTGTCAGAGACTGAGTTTTGGCAAGTAAGACAGAAAATAAATAAAATAGTTTATATTGCGAAAAAAAAGTATAGTAAGTAAATTTTTTAGATGATAGCAATGGACGAGCAGCGCGGCGATAAAGTCTATGGCGGTTGCGAGGGGCCAGACGCCATGTACGTCAAACTGATTTCGTCAGATGGACACGAATTTATTGTAAAACGGGAACATGCTCTCACCTCTGGCACAATTAAGGCAATGTTATCTGGCCCAGGACAATTCGCGGAAAACGAGGCTAACGAAGTGCACTTTCGGGAGATTCCGTAAGTCCCATTTTGCGATGCCAACGAAGTGCGCTTAGTACTTTCCTTTAAATCAAATGTGTGCTAATGACCGGTCAAGGGAGTGCCAATATTTTTCCATGTACATACATACATGCACACACCAACGAGCATACATATATTTGACCCATGAACACATACGTACGTACGGGTTAAATTGCATACAAATAAACATATGTATGTATGTGTGTAATACATGTGTGTGTGTGTATTTAGCTCATTGAAGGGTTAAATTTTTGTAATATTCGTGCGGCTAGAAAAATAATGCTTCTTTAGTAATACAATTAGTAGTATTATCACTTTATATATAGAATTAGTATATGTATATATACCAGACATAAATAGAATTAATATACATCACATGCACATTAGAAATTGACAAATACAATGATTTAGAAAAGTGTTTATTAAATATAATATATGAAGCTAAGTTAATTTTTTTCAATTAAGAGCTACAAATAGAACTTTTTATTTAATATTCTAAGAATTTTTAATTGCTCGATATTTTCCCTATATTATATTATTGTTGATCGTCATAAATATTTATTTATTTTTTTAAGTTTATGTCAACTATTATTTTATATGATTTCCGTTCCACAGAGAGAGAAGAGAGTGTAGAAGCTTATGATATTTTTAGCATCTTTATACTCTTCCCTGTCTATGGAACTGAAAGAGAGAATCATAGATAATAGCTTGAAAAATTCAGAGAATTTGCTAGATTAGTCTTATTAGTTCATTGTTAAGTCAGATTGATATTCGCGGTATTTATAAAGAATATATCAGCTTTGCAGATCTAACATAGTCGATTAACTGCTCTTTGCTAATAAGAATAATTTAAATAAATATTAAGAACGTTAATACTCGGTTAGTTATATTTTCAACATTAATATTGCAAGGAAGGCTTATTGCTTGCATATAATTTGATTTCTAGCTTGTGCTAGTCTTTAATAAAATATTACAAAATTGATTGATATTTAATAAATACCTTTTCATTTCTTTTGCAGATCGCATGTCTTACAGAAGGTGTGCATGTACTTCACATATAAAGTTCGATACACCAATAGTTCAACCGAAATACCAGAATTTCCGATTGCACCAGAAATTGCCTTAGAACTTTTAATGGCAGCTAATTTTCTAGATTGCTAAGTTATTGGTTAACTTAATAATGTTAAATAACAAATTTTCAAAATGAATAAAAATGTAATATGGTTTGCTGTAATTGTATATACAAATGTAGTTTTATTTATGTTACTGTTAATTCTTAAATAGATGCAATTGATACCGAGGCGAATGTAAGTAAGGTTGCATCTGGTAGAAATACTGGAAACCAATTCATCCCAAAAGCATTAAAGTTACAAATGTTTACGAGTATCTAAACGACATTTTACAACCTGTTGTGTAAATGAGCTAATGAAACGCTACTATTAACCTTGATTGAAGGCGCTATCAATACGAAAGGCAAATACAAGGTCATGCACGTTGCTTTTACAGCGGGACGTCACCTTATCGAAAATAAAAGGACACGCGCGCATTAATCTTTATTGCAGCCATAATATTTAAACATATATAGATAAATATACCCATAGTGAAAAGAAAATGTGTATAAAATATAGACGAATTTAGCCTTAACAATAGATTCAATTAAACAGCATGTTTTTAATTTTTGTTATTCTTATAAGAATTCTAACCAAACCAGCGTATTTCTAAGTTGCTAACGTAGTGAACACCGGCTTTATGACGCTACAAGTTCGTTTTTTCGTAGACAGTCAAAGTAACGGCACTGTTATTGAGCAGTGCTGTGAAATATCTTTCACACCTTAGTGCTTGAACTTAAATTTGACGGAGTTGCTGAGGGCGGAAAGTGTAGCAAAGCTATGACGTCACACGCACATCTATTTATAAATACTCTATACGACGGAGCTGCTCTTGGAACGACTGACAGTGATTTAACAGTGAACTTACAGTTACTTTTAACAGCGGCCTTCATCACTTTTGAAGGACAAAGCGCGCCACAATAAATCGATGTCTAGCGAACGTTTCCATAGTTACCAACTGACACATCGACAGGGCCAAACATAGTAAAACTATTTTTTATTTTCATTTTTGAGTTCTTTAAGTTTACATAGAGTCGCAATATGGGCATGCTGCACAATTTGACGGGCTTGATCAAAGTCAAAAAGGACAAAATGACGATCCTTGTCCTGGGCCTAAATAACAGTGGCAAATCGACGATAATTAACCATTTCAAGAAGTCAAACGAACAGTCTGCTATCATGGTGCCAACAGTGGGGTTTCTCATTGAGCAATTTTACAGTAAGTTTCGTTATACAAAATATATCATCATTTAATAATTCTCATTTTGCAGACATGGGCGTTTGCATAAAGGCTATTGATATGTCTGGAGCTACACGTTATAGAAATTTATGGGAGCACCAGTTTAAAAATTGTCAGGGAATTATCTACGTAATCGATTCAAGCGATAGAATGAGATTCGGTATGTCTTCAACAATAAAAATATATAGATATATAATTTTAAATTATATTCCTTTTTAGTGGTTGTCAAAGATGAATTGGATCTGGTACTGCAGCATCCCGATCTGCGTAATCGAATATTACCCATACTATTCTATGGAAACAAATCGGATCTAGAGGATTCACTATCTAATGTAAAAATTGCAGCAGGTAACTAAAGTTATATAAATATAAATTAATAATGATTTATATACTCCTGGATTGTAATCTCTATAAGCTTTGGGTTTGGAAAACATCAAGGACAAACCTTGGCACATCTGCTCCAGCAACGCCATTTCCGGGGAAGGTCTAGACGAGGGCATACAATGGCTGGTTCAACAAATCCGTTTCGCATTATTAAGCAACAGAAAGGGTAGTAAAATGAAGATGGTCTCCAAAGACATTAAGTAATCTCGTATTGCTTCATTTCGAATTTCTTTTTTTTTTTTCTGCCTAATAATGTAGTTGTACTTTAGGACTCTAGTTAATAAGTAGTGTAGTATATGAATGAACGTTTATATGTGTATATAAATAATAACTATCAGAAATTTTGTGTCATTAACTTTGAAATCTGATGAAATGCAATAAAAATAACTTCGTTTGGTAAGCCAAAGAGATATGGACGTTATGTAACTGAAAATATCTTTAAATACTGAATACTAATGTCTAATAGAGATAACATTAACCCAGTTCTAAATATTATTGAAATTAGTAGACATTTTTGAACAGCTTTAGATATTAGAGTCCGTTAATGATAAGATTTTGTTTATGCATTCAAAGATATAGTAAACTTTTAATACGATAAGAATCTGTTCTGCCAATATATTGAAAGTCGAAGAAAAAGGTTAATTTTGGATAAATTCTATACCAGCTTTATAATGTAGTAATCCAATAGCATAAAATAGTAAAACTTACCAGCCAACCTACCTCAACTTTGAGCCACGTTTCAGTTAAAAGATTTCTGAATCCGATTAAAACCATAAGAATTTTTATACTAAACGTTTTCTATATCCGATATATCCATAGAAACTAAAAAATGTTATTGGAGTACCAAGAGATTTACGAAAAGCAAGGATATTTAGAAATACTCAATATACTGGTTCCTCATAATAGACATAAGTCTACCTTTCACATGTCTAATCCAACTTGTCCAATTGCCTCCTCTTACATCTATCATAACCAAGTTCAAACCAATTAGAAATAAAATATTGTCTCGCGCAGGCAAAGACTTTAAAGTTAAGAAATTTCTCCGATGACGGGTTTATTACAGAATTCATCTTCATCTTAAAACATAGTCGCGAAATGTGTTTATTTCTTGCTATTCAGGATGATACCATCATACTTCTGTTGGAACCACTTCATGGCATCCTCTTTTGTCAGACGATGTTGGAAACCGACGGTGCCAGCTTTGCGCTTTCTGTGAGCCACGTTGTAACCTAAAAAATATAAAAATAAAATAATTAACAAGACCATTCACAATAGTTGCGCGGAGTAATTATTTTTGTTGCAATTGTACCGTTTGAGTTTGTATTAAAACAAATCCATTTAAGCACACTTTCATTAATATGCGCACAGTTACTGAGCATCAATTTCGTATTGGAAATGGACACCTAATTATGTGCAGCATCCACTTGGATTCTGATTGGCATGTAATTCTTACCTGGACGTCCCAACACAACGTAGAAGTCCAAGCCATAGATACCGATTGAGGGATCGTACTTGATGCCCAAATCAATATGTTCTTGAATACCAAAGCCAAAGTTGCCAGTGGCCGAGAAGTTATCGCGTCTCAACTCGTACTCGCGCACTTTCAGGCCACGCTCCAAGATTTCCTCGGCCTTAGCGCCGCGCACTGTGCAATGCACTGCGATCTTTTCATTACGACGAATACCGAAAGAGCGCACTGTGTAGCGGGCCTTCGAGAACACTGGCTGTTGTCCCGTCAGCTGCTCCAAAACCTAACAATGAAATTTTGAGACATTTAGGTTTGTTTGTTCGGCATATTTACTGTTGTATTTTTAGGATTCTTACCTTGGCGGCACGGGTAAGCCTATCACCGGATTCACCTACGCAGATGTTGAGGCACAGCTTCCTGATGTGCAGATCGCGCATAGGATTTTTCGCGGGATCGCGCTTGATTTTAGGTTCCTTCTTAGCAACAGCCTGAAAGAGGTTTATTTTGATTTATCAATATATGGTTTAAACGCAAAATAATATTGCAATCAACACATCGAATCGAATAACTTCAAGTCTACATTCATAGTTTACAATAATATTGCACGATTAATGTAGATGTTTAATAATTTACACTTGACAAGAATTTCAGAATACCTACCGCCATTATGGTATGTAGGAAAGAAAGGAAAAAGGCGTGTTACAGTTCAGTGTCAGCCTACGCCAGCGATACGTGCTATCGATTTGTAGTCGATAGTCGCGGAAACATTAATAGAGGTATTCCCCAAATAAATGATGTATTATAAATATATAATGTTAACATGTCTTAAATTGAATATGGAAAAGAACTAGAGTCATAGTCATTTGTACATATGGAAAATTTGTTCGAGAATCGGCACTATTTGATAGCAAAAAATATCAGTGCTATTCGCATTATATTAATTCGATATTAACATTTAGCTATGTGAGTAAAGATGATTTTTTTTTTTTTTTGGTTAAGTTTAATTAATATTTTAACTATTTGCTTTATAATAACAAATATTTAATCTGAGCAATTCATTTATTGAATATAAATTTCTAACGAGTGCGGACACTGGCTGTTAATCGTTTAAATAATTGTTATACGACAGCGATAATACATTGGTAGTTAAGAAATGATAACGATATAGCAACACCAATAACAATTTGTACCGACTAAAAAGGTTGTATCGATAATTGCCTGTAGCTTTGTTGTTGTTTATTGGTATAATTATTTTAATTGTAGTTAATCGATTAAGTTTGTTATTAAAATACCGATGTATCGATCGACTATTAGCAACTCTACAATATGGCTGCCTGATTTTAATGTGATTTTTTTGGACGACGTATGCTGCTGCTTTGCCATAGTGTATGTGGTTGAAAAGATTATAACTGTAATCTGCTAAGTGCAACAAATATATAACTTATTCAATTGTTGCAACGTTCGATAATAAAACTATAACTGACTTAACTCATATAGCGCTATATCAAGTTACTTAGATTGTCTTCTATCGCTGAATTGATTTTACGACAATGTAGCTTTTTAAATACAAACAGTATATTTAGACGAAAAAGTCATTGTGAGCCAAATTAGATTGTAAAAAACGCGATAATTTAGTTCCATAACTTGAAAAACGGTTTTTATCAAAAAAAGAAACGAAAAGAAAAAATCTTATTGAGAAATACATATATTGCTGCTGTGAGAGTGAGCGAGTGAGAAAGATACATACATATGTATGTATGTATGCATTTGCATTTCGTTGTGTAGTGTCGTCGACTGGCTGCTCGGTAAAAGTCGGTCTTTCTTTTCCACTACCACTTTGCGTTTGAAAATTCGAAAGAAAAAGAAAAAAAAATTAAGTAATAATGTGTGTTATATGAATGAAATAAGGCATATGGCAATGGAACGCGTCTAACTTTCAAAACTCTCATGCCAATATATTGCAAATCTATGACCTAATATTGTTTATTCAGGAATTATTTTTATTGGTAAGTAACATGGTGAATTCTCTCGTATATTGGGCTAAGCGCTATGGGCGAACCACAGAGCAAGAGCAAGAAGAAGAGCAGCAAATCAATATTTTAGGGGGCTGCCATTTCGTTGTTTGCGCTGTGTTTCGCTAGTTTTTCTCTTCCATTCGCTGCCGCTGCGCCGCTGTCGCTGTCGTCTACCTTCGCTTTAGCCCCACGCCCTGTCAGCCCCCGTGGCACAAGAAAATAAACTCTGCGTGCTTTGTAATAACGAGTACAATTTTCTGGGCATATAAAGAAAAAAAAAATGATGAAAAAGCCTGAATAAAGAAATTGACAAAAGTAATGTGTGTACATCGGTTTTAATGTAACTGTGTGCGTGTGCGAATGTGTGTGTCTGTGTTAACTGAAATGTACATAAATTATTCCCTTTTCGGAAGTATTTGTATTAAAATTTAATAGTTTTCATATACGGAAAAAATAGGCGAAAGAATTGCCCAGACCTAAGTCAATTTCAATACAAAATACTATACATGTTTATATATATACATTGCCTATATATATTTATATAAGTATATATATAACATTCTTATTCCGTATGTATATATAATATGATATATATATTTAGTTTAGTTGCAGGAAAAATAGCCAAATAATAAAAGGGTGTGTGACGCAAATATATTTTGTATATATCTTTATATGTACATACATATTTGTATGTATGTGTGTGAATTTATCTACTGCTTCAACTAATTTTCAGACTCTTTGTTTGAGTTATGTTTATTTTGAATAAAAAAGAAACACATTTTAAATATTATAGCACGCACTTAGGTGCTAAACGAAACAGTTTCATACAATGATTGATAATTAACAACATACGAAATATAGCAAATGAAAAACTCGTATCAACAGATATATAGTAATACACTAATAATTATAACAAACAAATGTATAATAATTATATAAAAAAAAAACTCAGAGATAAAAGAAAATTATAATGATAAATTACGAAATATAACAAATACAAATTATTGTATCAACAGATATATAATATATATAAATTAATAAACATAACAGATGAAATACTCGTGTCAACAATTTTATACAAATTAAAATCACTAAATTGAATTGCTTATAAGTTTTTCAAAGTTTGTCAACAAAGTCTTCAGCTGTTGCTGCTGTAAATTGTTTAATGAGATAAAAGTACTCACATTGATGACTGTTGTTGATTGCTCATTTAATTGTTAATTAAACAAAAACTCATTTAACCGTTAGTCGTCAAAGATCCATTTAAATTGTCATTGAATTTTTCGCCCCCAATCTTGGTCCATTAATATTTTCATTATCCTCTTCCTATGCTATAACTTCTATACCAGAAGATGTCTTCAGATAATAGTGATATATTGCTTACTGTAGAGCAGATTGTATTGGATTTGATAACGAGCTTGATGTCCTGTAAGAAAGTAACGTTAGAAATACCAAATAACTGTCGTGATTGGTATACGACAGACAATTACGATATAGTTGGCAAATGTCGTAAGGTCGTATACAGTGTCAAACGTAGTCGTCATCGCTTTTGCCTGATTGTCTATCTCCTTGCGGAGATTCATCAATTGCATTTGACCGGAGGTAGTTGCACGATACGGGGTCTGTATTATCGGAACACTCAGGTGGTTCGGTCCCAGTCCTACATTGATGCCGCTAAAATGGATGTTTGCCGTATGCTAAACACGGCACCTGTTAATCTGGGCATTTTGTCAGCGTCGAAGGGACTAATTACAGGTGTGAAGTATTGTAAAATATTGATATCTTCTATTTTGTATTTTGTCGAAAAATGTAACTAATAGGCATTTCTCTTAATTGTAGGAGACATAAAGCTGCTCATGAACAACGGCGATGTATTGGATTGCAATGTATATTGCGGAGCTATAACATTGCCAACGGATTTCGAAAATGTGGAACGAATCGTGACAAATGCCGAAATGGTTTTGATCGTTGAAAAAGAGTCAGTTTTTGAGAGCTTGCTGGCTTGTAATGCCTTGAGCACGTTTGGCTTACGTTTCATATTGTTAACGGGCAAGGGGTATCCGGATTGCACTACACGCCGTATTGTATACCGACTGACCGTCGAATGCAATTTACCGGCATATATTCTAGTGGATGCTGATCCGTTTGGCATTGAAATAATGCTCGTTTACCAGCTCGGCTCGCAGGCCATGAATTTCTCGGCCAAGAGTTTGGCCACACCAACGCTCCGTTGGATTGGCCTGCATCCATCCGAAATCGATAGCATTTCCAATCGCTCGGTTCCTCTCACTCAGCACGACAATAAGAAGATTGTTGATATTCTGTCGCGCAGTAATCTTAGTTTAGGTGTCAGGCAGGAGCTGTGCAGGTTGCAGCAAGTCCAGCTGAAAGCTGAAATCGAGAGTGTTATTGATTTTCTAAGTCCCTACTATATACCCACTAAAATCAATAGAAATTTGTTTATATGATATTGATACGAATACATTAACAACTATTAATGTATAATGTAAATAACCTATAGATAGGTCTTGACATACGTCAAACAGTGATTTTTTGAACTATCACATAAAATTGCTTTGTTTGCATACAGAATTATAATAGATATTTTTTAGTCAAATTTTGTTAATACTATCTTGTACAATTTTGAGCCTTGTTATATCCATATTGTTTTTTACTTAAGCAAGTTCCATAAACCCAAAACTATATATTTTTATGTTTATTAAAATAATACGAATTTACATAGTTAAAGCAAATAATTTGTTTATGTTTTGGAACATATTTATGTTAATATTTTGTATTATTTTGATTTTCATTTTTGTAAAGAATTGATTTTACAATTCCTCATAGTTTGCCAGAATGTTTTGAATACTTATAAATAAATATTATATATATCTATAATTAACCTTATAAACCTTCATGATTTATTCAACTAAGATGTGCGTTAAGCGTACAAAAATCAATATGTCTAACAGTTTTATAGCTTCCAATGTATTTTTAGCTTAATTTGTTAAATTTCTGTTTTCGGACATGTGCACCTGCGCCGCTCCTTACTAAATAACCTAATACCACGACATTTGATTTCCGTCTCTTGTTGATTGAACATAAATTGTCATCTGTCAGGACAAAATTCGGCGTGACCTAGTAGACCGTAGGGTTAAAAGGCCGCTGAGCGTTAATATTGTATCCCATGAACTTGATGGAAACTTTGCTATAAAAATATTAAAAGATTTATTATTTTTTTTAAATATTTTGTACCTTGTATTCACGCCCTCTGATTTTTGGGAAAACACAAAGCTTGACCTAATTTGAATTTGTTTTTGTATTGATAAGAACATTTTGATTATAAATATTTTTATTTTTCATAAAGCAAACGAAAATATTTGTATTTTCCATATATTGCAAAGATAAGCCAAGCATGTCTGGGATATAATGAATTCTCTGGTTGCCCTGTGGCATTCTATTGGAAGAAATATATAAAACTTTTATATTTCGAATAAAATAAATTAAGGTTTTGTATAAGAGAAAAGACAGAAAAGGAATATAGTTTTTTTTATCTTTTGTTTTTGTTAATAATGGGAAGCTTTTCGATAACTTTTCTACTATTTATTTTTGAATTTCTGCTATAAATTAATGAACACATAGTTGTTTTATAGCAAGCAAACTTTGGCTTACATTTCGAAGAACAAAATTCTTTCGCCTTTTCTACGGATTGTTGAGAATGTCCTTAAATATATAAAATTTATAAAATTTCTTAACTATTAAAATTTTGTAAAGGTGTTGTATTGTTTGTGCTTAAATATTAGCATATTATATAATAATAATATTATTTTTAAATTAATTTAATAACTGAATAAAAAAATAAAACTAATTTCCTTTCTTGTCCATTTCAGATGAAAAGCGGCTGCGGAGTTATTAGGAAGTAAATTAAAATTTAATATATTAAGGAAACAAGAACGGCAAGTACTTTGACAGGAGGCGCAGGAGTTGGAAGCGATCCACTGGAGGAATAGAGATTAGTTGGCCTCTGTTCTATTGCAGAATATTGCGTCAAATAGTAATAGAGAGAAATAGAGAGAGGGACCGAGAGAGAGAGAGAGAGAGAGAGATAAATATAGAGAAGAGATTTGGCTAGAAAATATGTCTACAGCAATGCGAACAACTTTGCAACCAGTTCCTGAAGCCCTGCCCGCAGAGAATGTCTCAAATGGGACGGCGACTGCGACGGCTGCAACGCCAACGTCGACGTCGACGGCATCAAATGCCACAACGACAGCCGCTGCTAGCACAACAACGTATACAACAAACACAATCAGTAGCTCGGCGCATTCTGTAAAGGATCAGCAGCAGCAGCAGCAGCATGACTCAGCCAATGCCAACATTGTCTCACTGCCACAACCACCAACACCAGCAACACCAGCCGCAACAGCAACATCAACAACAACAACAACAGCAGCAGCAACCACAGCGGCGGCGGCGGCGGCGGCGTCAGCAACAACAGCTGGAAATACGACAATGTTGCCAATCTCGTCCTCGAATTCAGCCAGCAGTAGCAATAATACAACCACAAGCACACCTGTGGCAGCAGCAGCAGCAACAGTAACAAATGCCGCACCACCAACGACAGCAAACACAAACCACGCGTCGCACCACCAGCACAGCCATCAGCATCATCATCATGTCGCCAACAATATGGCCACAGACGGTGGACGACTATCGAGCAATAATGCCAGCACAGTCAACAGTGGTCCACCACCACCATCATCATCAGCGATCAATCACCATCATCATCATCCACCGGGCGGTGGTGTCGGCGGCGTTGGGGGCGGTGTGGGTGGTGTCGGCGCCAGTTCCGTCAACAAGAACGTTCTCAGCACACACTCGGCCCATGCATCTGCCATCAAACAGCGAACATCATCAGCTAAGGTGAGTCGCAAATCTAATCAAACTTCAATCAATGTATATCTCCATGTCTCAATGCTGGCACTGTAACTACGTCCCCCGGTTAAGTTAAGATCATACCTCAAACATACATATACATATATATATACTATATAGATTATAGAATCGCTTATTGTCCCATGTCCTTTATTACTGATTGTCCAAATATATCCATATATCTATATAAATATATTCATAATCTGTATTCTTTCTATTGTAACTATTGTATAAACATGATCATTGTGTTGCCATTACTGAAAACTTGTTTCACATCAAAATGTTCCAAATTAATTGCAATAATTAAAAAAAAAAACAACTTTTTAATCGGTGGCTGAGGGATTTTTTTTTCTATATATGTATGTTGATCGAATCTGAAGAGAATGAAGATTTACTTATAAATATACAATTTATAATATTAGATATTTATATAGAAGTCAACATGACTTAAAGTGGGTGAAATGATGTTTTGGAGCCCTGCTAACGGCATTTAAATAGTCTGAAACTCTCGGCGAATTTCTCGTGCACTTAAGATTAGATTAATGAGATACAGTTTGCGAATGAATATAAATAAATCAATATGCGAATATATGAGAAAGCTTCAATGCTTTTTGTACGTCAATCTGACACTAGTTATAAAGTTTGATTGGAAAGACCCAATCGGACACCCACTTCAAATTTCAGTGATTTGTTTTAATATGAGAGTAGCATTTTAAAACAATTTCCAACAACACGCCTGCTATAGACGTGGCTATTTACAGATAATATATGTATATATGTACATGATGTGTAATCTGACAAAGTTATATAAGAACATATAATATTTATCTTAAGTATCTCCCAGTGACATATCCATATAATCAGAGCTGTAGGAATGGGAAATGCATTGGATATAAGACAGATTGACTTTGATATGAAATATGAAATGGAATATTCAGAAAAATAAAAATGATGTACGTATGTTTGTACATATGTATATTTTCATCATAGGTTTTCTTGAAAACATTTTAGATCAATTCGCACAATTAGCATTTAGTAGTTGTTATGAATGAAACTTGCATAAGATAATATTTTTGTATATATTAATAGCTACTATTTGCCTTCTTTTTAATGGGCATCAACCAGTCGTATATTATAGTGCCACAATGTTTATATACTTGTAATTTCTCAAATAGTCTCTTGATGTGTGTGGGCGGGCGCGAGTAACTATCATATAAAAATACAAGTGCAAGTGTAATCGGCTGAAAATGAGTGTGAATGGCAGAATCAAAAAGAACACCAATTTAAAATTATCGTTACTTTTCTCCATTCTCACTCGTTTCTTGCTGATTGATGGATCATAAAAGCCTTCAGCTCGGATCTTTTGCTACATACTTAGTTGAAAACTGCTTTGCCTCTGCACGTCAGTTAATTTTGCTTTTGATAGTCAAAGCTCTCTCGCTCTCTTTCTCACGCCGACTCTCTCTCGCCGAAAAAGCTTTACGTATTTCTTGAGCGTGAATGTGTCTGTATATCTTCGATTGTTTGCGTGAGGTACGTCACATGAATAACCACATACATACATAAATGCGTATATGCAGTGTCTGCATACATCCGTATGCATGTGTATGTGCGTATATATACGCACATATGAATGTATATGTTAGTATTTTTGTTTTTGTTTTGAATCATACTCAGTTTTGAGTGACGCCAAAGATCATGTATGTAAATACATACATGCATAAATGTATATTCATATACATATGTACATCACACTTTATGTACGAATCAAACTATATTATTGGGTGTGTCATTCTTAGCTCTGTTGCTTTCAAGATTAAACTATGCCCGTTCCACAGTGTTCAGTACGAGCTGAAAAATTAAACAAGAAAAAAAAAATTGCCTGAGCGAAGCGCGCGCTAGAACTTATCCAATATACAATGCCGCTCGACCCAGCCAATGGTCGAAAGCTTGTTTTAGTATTAAGTTCCACTTCATTCGTGTGGTCACCGTCGCGTTCGCCGTTGTCGCCGTTGTCGCTGTTATTGTTCATTGCTCGCCAACGGTACTGTTGTTATCGACAAACAATAGTTGTTAGCAATGCACATTTATTCGATTATTTTTACTTCAGTGTCATTGCTGCTTTCACTAAGCGCTGCTTAAATTCTAATAAGAAAAACAAAAAGTAAAAAGTGTGAATTCTTCAACAATTAGATTTGGATTAATTCAAGTGCAAGAACGTGCTGATAAGAGTCATATATTTATTAGGCTCACAATTTATAATTGCCGAATGAAAATTTTAAATAATTAATTACATACATATGTATGTAGAAATGTATGCCTCTACATGTGTATGTGTTTTACTCATCTATATGCATATACATACATATATAAATATGTACATTGTTGAGTAATTTGTGTTAAATACGTATTTGTTTTGGCTTGATTGTCATTGTACTCTAGTCTCAGCAGCTGAATCAGAAGCAGAAGCTCTCAGCTCGCATCCGACTAAGCCAAATCAATTGCGAATGATAAGTTAATTTAATTATACGCTGCTTACATATGCACATGAGTATATACACGCATATAAATATATATATATATATATATATATACAAACAAAAAGAAATATAGTGTGCTGCAATACAAACAGTAAAACAAAAAAAAAAGAAAAGAACCGATAAAAATAAAGAAAATCATCACAAATTCCTACACACACAGTACACAGACAATGTATATGTGTGTGCGTAACTTTGACTTTGCATGTGTGTGAATGAGACGCAAGCAGCAAGTGAAGCTTTAATACAATACAAACGAGCTAACCAGAAGAATAGCAACAGCAGCAACAATATCAGAGTGATTAAGTAAATGAGCGAAATAAGAGTGAAAAGGCAAAGTAGAATACTAAGAGAAGAGAAGAAAAAAAAAAACAAAAACGTGCCGAGCTTTTTAAAACTTGTGTTGTCACAAATGTGGGGCTTCATCGTCTCTGCTTCTATTTCGGTTTTCGTTGTCGTTGTCTCATTTTATCTCTGTATTTCGGGCGTGCGCGAGCGCGACTAACGCGTTCCACCTTCATAAGTGTGTGGAATGCATTTATGAGTGTGTGCGTGAGTGTGTGGACCTTACATTCGTTCTTTAAGCTTAAAAGCTTTTTTACCATACGTACATTCATAAATTATAATGTATAAAAGGTTTAAAATAAAATGCATGCGTATGTGTGACTGAGTGCGTGTGTGTGCTAGAAATGCGATACTCGGCAAAAGATAAGACAACGCTGTGTAATTTTTGATAGAGCTCATCCTCATGTGAGAGACCCCTAACAGAAATTGCAAACAAAATTAAGTAAATAGCCTGCATAGGAAATACATGTAATGTGACGACGCAAATTAAAATCTGCTTAAAATCGTGTATGCAAATTAAGGTTAGACCTTCAGATTAGCTGACGACTGAAACTGTCTTTAGTATTCATTGGACCTAAAAATAAAATAATTTAAAAAAGCTGCTCTGCAAGATGGATAACAAAGCATCAGCTGGATTGTGAATTTGTTACCGACTTTTGGCACACATACAAATACAAATATACATGTATTGCAGCATACACACATACATACATATGTAGGAGAGAATTAAATGATTGTTCAAATTAAATTTATTCAATTCGTTGTGATGTGCCCGGAGAGTTCGCGACGCGTTTGAATGTCTAAAATAAATAACAAAAAAATCCGACTAAAATTTTGGCAATTGCAAAAAAGTCAGGCAGCAACATGGGTCAGACATCGAGTCATAGGCAAAGCCTGACGTGCAGCCACAATCACAATAACAACAACAACAAGGACGACTCGAGTGCGAACGCCATTGCCTCAGCTCAGTTTGCCAGCAGACGGACATCGGCACGCAAGTCGAAATCATCATCGAAACACTATTCACCGTTACAAAAAGATGAGCTTTCAATATTACGCGATTCTTTGCTACGCAACGGCAGTATTATGCGCAAGAGCATGACCGATCCACAACGTCGGCCGGTCACCATAAGCGAGCTAACAACGAGCCAAGCTCAAGCTCAAGCACAAGCACAAGCATCGAACGCCGGCTCCGAGGATTTGCTTGTGAGAGAGCGCAGAGAGAGCTTTCAGTTACCCATTGAGTGCAGTGCCAAAGTGGAGGATGTCGCAACGGCATCCGCACCGCGCACTGAGAATCGCAATGAATTTTACATTGTTGGAGATGGGTATCATAAGACGGACTATTGCCATTATCGTACGCCCAATGGTAATTTTCACAAGCTACCCTCAGATTCGTTTCACAAAATGTCCGAGGGCTGCTTTGTGCGCATGCCCGATGGCGTATTCCGTCGCCTAGAAGTACCAAAAGCTCAACAGATATCACGTCGTGCCTCCAAGCTGGACGATATCACAGGCACTGAGAGCAATGATAATGGCTTGGGCGGTGCTACCAGTGTCAAAAAACAGCTATTAAACTTTCTGAAGAGATCGAAGAGTCATACACCTGCTACAATAGCCAAGCTACAGAAGGACAAGGACGATGCTCGACTTGAGCGCAAGCAACGTCTGTCGAATGCTATGCGACAGAGGGCGCTAGAATTGAAAACATCGTCTTCAGCGACAGCTGCCAGACTCAACAATCCGAACAATAAAATCGTAGTTACTATGATTGAGAACGGAGGTCTACCGATCGTGGCCACTAGCAAACCCGATCGACCCAAAAACAAGGATACCGCATCAATAGTTGCTGATAAGGCGCGTACCTCAAGGGTATGTACTGAACAACGTGTAGCGGGGGCTTTAGAAAGTATTTGAAAATAGATTAATTATATTTGCATACATATTTGTATACCCTGCGCCCGTGCAAATATGTTTGAAAATCCCTTTTTATATTGCCCAATAACAAATTTATAATCTTCTATAACAACTATGGAGAATGTTTTTTTTTAATTTACCAAAAATTGAGCTTCTCTTTGATCATTTGATTATTGAAATCTTTGACAA